GGGGCCGGGCAGCCCGGTAACCCCTCCCTGTCCGGGCCCCGCGGCTCAGTCGGGGCGGGGCCAACCCGCTGACCCCCTCGCCCCGCTCGAGCCTCCGCCCTCGGGCCCCTTCCGGGATCTCCACCCCCGGACTCCCTGGGGACGCCGAGGGCGCGGGACCTCGAGGTCTCCGCCCCCAGCCCCTCGCCCCTCGGGGCAGAGCCGACCGGCCCCTCCCCTCTCCCGGGAGGGGCCCTGGGGCGGGGCTTTTCCTGAGGGGCGAGGCCAAGCATCCCGAGTTGGCGCGGGCAGGGGAGAGGGCGGCGGGTTATTAAGGCTGGGGCGGGAGGGTTCCCGGGGTATTGGGGTCAGGGTGGCATTAGCCCAGCTCAAGCCGGGCTGGGCTGACTCAGCGTCCTGACGACCCTGCTCTTCCCCGGGCAGAGATGGGAGATGGCGCCGGTGCTGCCCCTGGTGCTGCCCCTCCAGCCCCGCATCCGTCTGGCGCAGGGGCTCTGGCTCCTCTCCTGGCTACTGGCGCTGGCTGGTGGCCTCACCCTCCTGTGTAGCGGGCACCTACTGGCCCAGCTGTTGCACCTTCGCCCTTTCTTGGCTCCCTCTTGCCCGTTCATTGCCCTGCCCCAGGTTGCCCTGGCCGCCGGTGCAGTGGCCCTGGGCACGGGAGTGGTGGGTGCAGGAGCCAGCAGGGCCAGTCTGGATGCAGCTCAGTACCCTCCCTGGCGAAGGGTCCTGGGCCCCATGCTGGTGGCTGGTGCTGCTGGGGGCGGAGGGCTCCTGGTCCTCGGCCTGGGGTTAGCCCTAGCCTTACCTGGAAGTCTGAGCACAGGACTGGAGGAGGGCCTGGGGGCTGCCATGGCTCACTACAAGGACACAGAGGTGCCCGGACACTGTCACGCGAAACGGCTGTTGGATGAGCTGCAGCTGAGACACCACTGCTGCGGGCGCCATGGGTACAAGGATTGGTTTGGGGTCCAGTGGGTCAGCAGCCGTTACCTGGATCCCAACGACCAGGACGTGGTCGAGTGAGTGACTTGCTTCTCTCTTCCCCCCACTCCCCTTCCTGCTCCATCCCTTAAAAGCCCACCTCATCCAGACAGGCAACAAATAGAGCACAGTGACTGAGAGGATGGGTTACAGCTCTGCCATTTACTAGCTGTGTGACCCAGGGCATGTTACTGAACTCCTCTGGGCCCTTTCCTCACCTGTAGGATGGAGATAATAACACCTATCTTATAGAACTGCTGTGAGGACGAATGGATTATGCATGTCTGGCACATAGTACGGCAGTCAGTAAATGTCTTACTCTCATCTTTCCCTTCTCAACTTCTGTGCCCCGAAGCTTCTTTCCCAGGCCTCTGTCTCCGGACACCCTAACAGCCTGTCCCTCCCTTTGCAGCCGGGTCCAGAGCAACGTGGAAGGCCTATACCTGATTGATGGAGTCCCTTTTTCCTGCTGCAACCCCCACTCTCCCAGGCCTTGCCTGCAAAACCGGCTCTCAGACCCCCATGCCCACCCCCTCTTTGATCCTCGTCAGCCCAATCTCAATCTCTGGGCTCAAGGATGCCATGGGGTACTGCTAGGGCACCTGCAGGGATTGGCAAGCACACTGAGCAGCATGCTGGCTGTCACCTTCCTGCTGCAGGTGAGTCAGCAAAGTGTCTGAGGAGTCCCTCCATCGAGGTCTCCTCACTGCCTCCAACCCTGGGGCCCCAGGAACTGCTGACCCGCACTGACTTGTTTCCCCTTGCTTTCCCCAGACTCCAGTGCTCCTGGGCCTACGGTACCTGCAAACAGCACTGGAGGGGCTTGGAGGAGTCATTGATGGGGAAGGAGAGACCCAGGGCTACCTCCTTCCTGGTGGACTGAGAGACATGCTAAAAACAGCATGGCTGCAGGGAGGGGTTGCCCGCAGGCCAGCACCTGAGGAGTTTCCTCCAGAAGCAGCACCTCCTAAGGAGGATCTACCTGAGGCCTAGTGGCCTGGAGCTTGGGGTGGGGACTGGAGGAGAGGGGGGAAGGAGTGGACAAGACTGGAAACCTCACAACTCTTTTGCCAAGGCTCCAGGTGGGGAAGGGAGGGTCCCTGGGATTAGAAGGATTAAGGATAACCAGCGAGCTGGACTGGGGCCTCAGGCCTAGCCCCTATGGCCAAAACAAGAGGGTGACAGGAAAGTGACATGGGAAGGACTGGAGACTGCTTCTGGTGCAGACTCAATAAAGCTTTTGGACTGAAGCCACTGATCTTTCTCTTCAAGGAGGTGGGGGCCCTGAGAGAATTGATTTCTGTCTGAGACAGAAGCCAGGATGCCAAGGTTTTGACCCTGGTAAGAATCAGAACACGAAACAGACTTACGAAATGAAAAAAATGAGAGGCCCCTTCAGATTGACATTTTTTTATTCTGGAGGTAGGAGGGGGGTCAGCATGCTCAGGTGGGGAGGGTCCAGCCCAGCTCCTCCAGCCCCCCCGTGCATGCCCAGCCCCAATAAGTTACCCAGTTATTCAGCTGCCCTCCCTCCTGAGTCTGTCTGTCCTGCTCCGCCCCAGACAGGGCTGACCCGGCTCAATACAAGGGCTGCTTGTCCCCAGCTTGTGGGCAGTGCCACATGGCAGGCTGGGGGAGGGGGAAAGCAGCTGGGCTGATGGCAGCGGGGCCACCCCTGGCTCTGAGGGGTCAGGACTTGGAAAACCACATCCTGGGCAGGCCAGGGGCCTAGTCCCACAGGTCTGTGCCTGAAGAAATGGTAGTCAGGGTGGGGCGTCCATCACACCTCCACGGCTGGGTCTGAGCCTCGGCCCTGTCGCTGTAGCTGCTCCTCCTGCTTCATCTTGGGCTTCTCTGTCCGTGTATGCCACACCAGAACCTGTTCCGGGAGGACTCCCATTAGAGCCGGGCCCAACCAGAGCCATGCCTCTGGGGCCCTCAGTGTAAATCGGATTCTCCAACCCCGTCTACACACAGTGTTGGCTGCAAAACGTGAAGGGCAGGGTGGAGGGAAGCCTCAGTGTCTCTAAAATGGGGCCTTAACCCCTTAACCTCTGTGGGCAACACAGATGCTCAGGACCCTGGGAGGCAGACTGGCAGGACACCACTTTCCTTCTCTGGCTCCCAGCTTCCCCTACAGTAGAGTGAGCAAGGTTGTGTCTGAGTGCTGGAGGGTCCCTCCTGGTTCAAACACCTGTCCTTCGATCCCCTTCCCCAGGGCCTCACCCGACTTCTCCCATCACCTGTCCACCCCAGAGCTACGTGACCCACCTCCATCCTCTTACCCGAGTGCAGTTGGCAGCCCGTGGCTCGAGGTCCTTAGGATCCACAAGGTGGCTCAGGAGACTGCTCTCCAGGTGGCCCCGGGGAGCAGCTGCATCAAACTGGGCATTGGGCTTAGCCAACAGCAAGGGCAGGGCAACTGCAAATCCCGCCATATCCACTGGGAAGGGCCGGTTGGGCTCCCACGCCGTGTGGAAGCCCACAACCCGGCCATCCTGCACCCGAGGGCCCTCGAATCGCAGGCCGCCCACCAGCCCCACAGGCCACACTGAGACACCACGGGTCCAGCGCATCTAACAAGAGGTCAAGAGACAAGAAACAGACGGGGTGGTCCAGGGCAAAGGGAGCAGCAGGAAGGACCACTTGGGTCACTCAGCTCCACATTCCCCCTTCTCACCCAACAGCCTAGAACAATGGTAACCCAGGCAACAGAGGAAGCTGGCCCGCGGCCTCTTTCCCAGCGCTCACCTCCTCAAAGAGTTCGCGGCTGTAGGTGTTGTCATCATCGGCAAAGTACACAACTCCCCGGGTCCCTGGCGGGGGTGGGTCCTTCTCTCCCCCCACGGCGCCCCCTCCACTCCGGAGCCAGGCCAGAGCCCTGTTCCGCTGCTCTACTCCTCGGGGACGAACCCAGCCCGGCTCGCCCTCCCGGAGCCTCTGCGCCTTGGGAGTGAGGGCTGCCAAGTGTGTGAAGAGGAGGCCAGAGGCGGCCAGCAGCCTCGAGACCAGCGGGGTGGGCCCCTCAGCGTCCTCCACCAGCAGCCAATGCAGCCGGGGCACCAGACTCAGGGTCTGGGACAGCCGCACCAGCTCCGCCTTCTGCACCAGCCTGGGGGAGAGGGGGGAGGAGATGCAGCAGCAGGGAAAGGGGCAGGCACCATCTCCCCACTCCAGCCAGCACACATAGCTTGTCCTGAACCACTTCTGGCATCCCCATGGTCTTTCCCCAACCAATACCCCAACGCCCTTTCTTGCCTGTCAACTTCTCACTGACACTCACCTGTCCTGTTCTTCCAATCATGTCTATCACCCACCTCAACCGTGGGAGACTATAAGTGAAGGAATCAGACAGATCTGGGTTTGAATCCTAGGTTTGTAATTAAGTGAGACATCTGGGGAAAATGGCTCTCTCTCCCCCCAAATCTCAGTTCCCTTGGTTGTAAAATGGGAATAACGGTACTCTCAAACAATGTTCTTTTAAAGATTAAATAAGGTAATGATTTTCCAAAACACCAGTGGGACCAGGTTCTTTTCCTTCTGTGCTTGGGCTTCCAGGTAGAGGAATTTAGAGGAGGCCCTTGACTCGTTCCTTTCCAGGGGAGGAAGATTTATCTGAGTTTAGACAAAGAAGTGGGAAGTGTGGCCCAGTCTCTTCTAGTCTTCTTTACCCTTCAGATTGGCCTGCCTGCCACAAGCTTGGTGGCCTGTGTGTGGAGGGGGAGAGGGTCTAGAGCATCCTGTGCCTAGATGGCTCAGCCATCTGATTCCAGGGAGCAATTAGCAGGCCCTTAGGCTGCAAATCCAAAACCACAGTCCCCCACTTGATTTGTATGAATAATAAAGGCTACATTTTAATTTAAAAACAAAAAAAGGACAGCACTTAGCCCTGACCATTGTGGCTCAGTTGGATGGGCATCATCCTGGGCACCAAAAGGTTGTAGGTTGATTCGATTCCAGGTCAGGGCACATGCCCAAGTTACAGGCTCAATCCCCAGTAGGGGGCGTGCAGGAGGCAGCCCATCCATGTTTCTCTCTCACATTGATGTTTCTCCTCTCTCTCCCTCTCCCTTCCTCTCTCTAAAAATCAATAAAAAAACCTTAAAAAAAAATAGTACAGCCCTTAGCCCAGCACTTCGTGAGAGTAAATACACTGTAAATAATATAATAGCATAACTATTTCTAGGCCCTGGTAAAACTACCAGACCAGGCCCCCTCCCTTTTTTAAATAGTTTTAACTTTTTTTTCAGTCCTCTCCGAGGATATACTTTTGCTGATTTTATAGAGAGAGGAAGGGAGAGGGAAAGAGAGAGGGAAACCTATGTGAGAGAAATAGCGCCCTCACTGGGGGAATCAAACCAACACCTGGGTATGTGCCAACTGGGAATCAAACCCGTGACCCTTCGATGCACGAGATGATACTCCAACCTACTGAGCCACACCGGCCAAGGCAGGACCAAGCCCTCTTCTACTTTGAGTTAGATAGGGGTTCTCAAACTTTCTCATCAAAGGATCTCCAAGGAAAGAGAGTGAACTCATTGGCAAGCTCCAAATTTCTTTGAAATAATATTGTTCTACCTTAAAATGTCCCAGGAATTTTGTATTCCACTTCATAGTACACTCCTATCTCTTTTAGTGGCAACTAACCATTTTCGCACAAATCTTTGAGTAAAGATGTGGTTCATTTATCCTGTCATTTGACATGCCCTAGTTTGAGGAACATTCCCTAGCCCAATGCCTCCCCCAAATCCTCCCCATCAACCCCAACCTCTTGGTTCATGCAAGCCTCTTGGGTGCACCAGAGCCCATACCTGGCATAGGTGGGGGTAACAACATAGATAGTAGGCAGGGCCTCAGGCTCAGGGGGCTGGGCAGGGGCAGGGGCTGGACGATGGAGATCAGCTTGCAGCTGGGAAATCCTCAGATCCTTCAGCCGAAGCTGCTCCGCTGCTGCCCGCAAGGGAGGGAGGCAGTCACATGGCTGGCCTGGTCCCAGGAAGCAGGGATGGGGGCAGAGAACCACAGCATGTTCAGCATCCCAAAGGGCCATAATGTCATTCAATTTAGCCAGTGCAGGAATCTCCTTACAACTTCTCCAACAGCCTTTTCTACACCTCCGGTGACGGGGAACTCACTGCCTGAGTTAGCAGCCCCTCTCCAACTTTAATAAATTCCATCTGTTACAACTGTCATTTGGATATTGAGCTGATTATCTGCCTCCATCCTTTCTACCGGTTGGTTCTAATTTTGCCTTCTGGAGTCATCAAGAACAAGTGTATCTACCTAAAACAGGACAGTCTTTCAAATACCTGAGGATTAGGCAGTGGCCCTGTCTGGAAATCCCTGCATAAGGGGCAGGGTTCAATCTGTTCCCTTGGCTGTGCGACCAAAGACTCATTAGATTTATCAATTCCATTACTGGATAAATATTTATTGAACGCCCCTCCTGGGAGGCACTGCCTTAGGTGCTGGGGATGCATCAGGGAACAAAGCTGCTCTCATGCAGCTTTCACTTTAGTGGCGGAGGCAGACACTAAGCAAAGAAAGCAAAGAACACCACTACGATTGTGATAAGAGCCACGAGGAAGCAAAGAGGTTAGAGGATTAAAAGAGAATCCAGAAAAAGAAGCGTTACTCTTGAGAAGGTGGTCAGGGAAGGCCTCTCCGAGGCGGTGACATCTGAGCTGAGACCTGAACGATGAGAAAGAGGCAGCGGGAAAGGGCTGGGAGACAAGCACCGCAGGCAGAGGGAGCCGGTTCAGAGCCTGAGAGCAATGAGCGTGCGGTTTTCGATAAGCTGTCATGAAGCCAGTGTGGCCGGAGCGGAGCAGAGCGAGCGAGAGGGTTAGGAAATGGGGTGAGAGGCGGGCGGCGGCAGGATCATGCAGGGCCCTGAATGCCCTGAGAAGCAGCCTGGATTTCGTCCGAGGGGCGGCGGGAAGCCGGGGCCGTTCCGGCGAGGGGCGCGTGCCCGGCGGCCGCAGAGGGCAGCCGGAGGGCCG